CTTAATTTGCCACAGCTGTGGCGTCAGAATGAAGTTTAGAGCTGATTGGCTGATTCTACAGTCAATCAATCACTGTGGGTGGGACATAAGGAGCTTGCCACACATTCTGGGCTCTGGAGAGCCAATAGATGAACCCAGTTGGTCAAAAAAAGGTGTCAATCAAAAGAAGACAAGCAGCTAAATGTAGTAAAAGAGTATCTATGAACAAAAATGAGCTAAAGCTAAAATTACCTAAACGTGTTTGATCTACAGATGCTATGCTTAAAATGCATAAAGTATGCAGAATTTTTTGCACAAAACATACAAAATAGACTATTAACCAAAAAACTATTGAGTAAATCAGCGTTCACACACAAAAAATTGTTTCAGCTCTTTGAACAAACTCAGTTTCCRGGTTAAAAAAAGAGTTTAATCTTGATCAGTTTGAGCTAATAGCTAGTCTGAGTGAGGCCAAGACCTAAACAGACCTATCATCTTGAAACAATTCATGTGTTCAGGCAAAAATTGATTTATGAACTTAGTTTGACGTCAGTTTTATATTTGACATTCCTGAGCATGGTGCAGAAGGGCGACAGAGGAGCTCAACGTTCTGTGACTGGATGTGACTTTGTGTCTCTGACTCTGTGACTCAGGTTTTGACCTGTCACTGAGTTGGTGACTGGCTTTGTGATTCTCTGTAGTTCTCCTTGAGCACTGATGCATCACACTTATCTGTCAGAGTCATTCTGATCACATATTGTTTGTTGATGCATGACTGACACACAAATAAATCCAATTATTTGATGCCCAACATCTGCTCAGCTGTTCAGAAGCATATTCTGGTCAAAACAACAAAATATCACAAATAAAAACATGAAATTAAACTTGAACATGTCCTGATGCGTCTCAGTAATCCAGGTAAAAAATCAAAAAGAAAAAAATTGTATAGGTCCTCTGGACGGGTTCTTCTCTAATGAAACGTTTCGTCTCTCCTCCAAGAGACTTCTTCAGTCTGAGAGTTTCAGGCAAAATTCAGGCTTTTG